AACCCTGAATCTTAAACCCTAAGGCCCTAAGCCCTTTACACCTTCGAATCCCCAGCGGCATAGTTTACACCCCAAACCCTTAATCCCAAACCCCAAGCCCAATCCCGTAATCCTAAACCCTAAAGTTTCTATCTGAACCAGGCCTTACTATTTGCAGGCTATGGCTTCTTGAAACTTGGGTCCTAAAGTGAAAACCAAGGACCTGTTTGGGATCGCAGGACATTTCAGGCCCAAACTTCTTAAGCTGCGTGATCGCGTGCTCTGCCGCCTGCTCGAAGAGCTCCTTCCGGTCAAGAAGGCGTAGGGTTTAGGGTTTAGGATTTGGTGCTTGAAGCTTGGGATCTGGCGTTTCAGGTCTTCAGGCCGGGCCTTGAAGAGGCCGAGGATTAAGGCTTGAAGTGAGAGAGATAGAGAGACAGAGAGAGAGAGAGACAGGCTAGTCTGTCTCAAAGTGCAAGGGTTGCTTACGTGCGGCTGAAAGGGTTAGTTCCTTGCCCCAACAAAAAGCAAAACCCTGCCTGTATAAACAGACTTGCCTCAGACCATCTCCGCAACATGTCTTGAGCAAGCTGTCTTGAGAGACAGCGGCTTTAGGCATGTTGTGTACAACGTCTCATATTCAATGCTTCCTCGTTCAAAGAATCAAACTAGAAGTGACTGCGGGCTCCTGCTTGTATCTTGAGCATTCCCTACTTAGGATATGAAGCCTCAAAGCGCCCTTTGTCAGGTTGTCTATCTTCTGCATGCCTATGTAGAGTGTTTGGGGCTTGGAAAACCAGCGCGTTTCTGTGTAGGCCGAGTGTACTGATTGGAGCCTTGATAATAGGTGGTTTCAGGACTAAGGCATTGCAATCCACAGAAGCTTGGGAGTCTTGATGCCTTGGTACTGAGTATGTGCAATGGGGCGAAGGAAGACTACCACATTTGCTTGAGAACTTTGCTCGTCTAAACCTGGCTGAAAATGAAGTCTGAGTGATCGCGTCACTCAGCGGTTGCTGCTACCACAGCATACCACGTCCTCTGTTTTGAGTGTATTGGTTGACCGCAATCTCCCAAACGTCAAGAAGATAGTAGATACTTGGAGGGAGAGAGGCACATGGACTGTTTGGGAATGGCGAGATGTCTGACTGTCCAGGCCTCATCAACGAAGCCACATTTTGCCATTGCCCACGTAGTGTTTGCCTGGCCATAGGGATCCAAAGCACTCAGACAGGATGTTGTTAAGATTACCAAGCAGGGCTGGCGTGATCCACTACCCGAATACTTGAACGGAGAGAGGGTCTGTTTCTAGGGAGGCATCGCGTGCTTGGCCGCGCCAGGCCTTTTTGTCTTCCAAGACAATCAAGGATGAATTCTGTTGCAGCACATCCAGTCTATACACCGACCAGGATAAGCGAAGAACGCATCTTGGCTGTACACCTAGCGCCCTACCCATATCCAGGTCAGAACAGATACGCCGAATCCACTTCAAGATGCAATCCTAAGACCCACTACTCACAAGAGGCTCCCGCAATCACAGCGCGACGAGATATCCCTGAGTGCCACACCGAAATGGTAGGATAACAAATGGAAATGAAAGTCCCCAATAATGTCTTATAGCAACACTGGGCACAGCATTGGGTAAAGGCTGCTGCCAGACTACAGCAGACCCTGCAACAGCTTAGAAGCTGAACAGATTTGAATGCATTACACTCATGATGTCGTAGAGCCGGTTCAACAGATATGTTGCCGTTTATGCCTATCACATAACATGAAACAGCTCTCCGAAAACACATCATCAACAATGTGGCTCAACCTTCAACCCGAAACCGTCCAATGGGGTTGAACACTGCTTCAAAAAACAGAGTTCGACTTATCTGCATTACATATTTCCTCTTCCTGCTCGATGTCTTCCATCTCTATATTTTCAATGACGAGAATGCTTCGCAAAGCGTCTCAAAAAATATGTAGAAACCGCTGGTGTAAGAGTTTCCACCTTGTCTGCTTTCTGCTTTCCGTATTCAACCCAATGTCCCTGTTTCAACAGTGAGCTTGCTTGCTGAGCTCAGATGTGAAGACCTTCCGAGATCATCCCTCGTACAGTTGTTTGTGCCGTGTGCTCATTTGCCAATTGGTTCTTGTGGTGCCCTCTCTGCTTCTTTCTTTCTTCAGTCCACACTTATCTGATAGCAGTTTCGCTTAGCCTCGCTGCATCTGCTACAACACCTATAAGCTGCTGGAGCTCTGCTTCAACTTTGCTAGCGTAAAGTGCTTGTGTCCTTGAGTGTTTTCAGCAAGATGTAAATATCTTAATTGTTCATGGGGATTCACTCCTTCCCCATGACGTCAATCCCAGCCACACCATTCTGCTTCTACAGAAGCCCTTGAACCCCAGAAGCGTCTACACCAAAAGTTAAGTCCTTTTCAGCAAGCTGCATAACAGCGTTTTTGAAAAAAATGCTGAGAAAAAACAAGCGTGTGGCCCCAGTGCAGCAGACTGCTGTGCTGCTATCCATCCGCTGAATAATCTGCCCTCCAAAACTCCAGACTGCATAGTCATCACCAAAATCCTGCTTCTTGAGCCCCCCCGAACCTCACATCCCCAAAGCCCACGGCCACAAACGGCAGTACACCATGAAGTGCAGTAGTATGCCTCTGCAACCCTCACAGTAGGGACCTCAGTATTCTCGAGCAACTTCTTTAGATTCTATCTTTTTGGAGATGGGATCAGCGCAGAAGCAGAATTGTTCAAGCACCAAGAGGGAAGCTCAGTTCTGCGCCTCGCCAAGGCCTATATCGATTGCTGCTGTGACGTGCGCTTGTCTTTGCACATCAACACATGCTACCTACCTATAACGCCGTAGGAGCTGCTTACATAAACTCCATCGTCCCTAACTGGACTCCTAAGCTTGTACAAGGGCACGGGTCTCCTGAGTATATTTCCGGATTTGCACAGACATGGGCCCAAACAAGAAACTGATACATCCCGGACCCTGCATTTCTCAAAAAAAAAACATCAAACCTTAAGCGAGTTGGGGCTGCAATCTGCTGTGGCTCGAAATCCTTCAGCTGAGTCTTCACCTGTGAGCAGGCTCGACAGTTCAAGACTAGGGTTTACCAGTCTAGGGCCTAGGGGTTTAGGTTTATTGCCTGAGGAGTTTGAGGATAGAGTTCAGGATGTGAGGCGGCAGAGTAAAAAGCTTAGTCTTCAAGAGGGGTGGCGGGTAAATCATGAATCCTAAGCCGTAGGCGCTGAACTCCAAAGCCTCACCGCTGAACCTTCCACTCTAAACCTTACACCATGCTCAAAACCCTTCAAACACAGTGCTCCAAACCAAGGCCCCGAAGAAAACACACAAAAGTCATAAGTTGCCTCCTGGGCGGCAGCGCGCAGAAGCCTCTCGTCAGACAGCCCGGACCTGGGGAGAGGCCTTAGAGGCTTTTGGGTTCAGGCTCTGGGAGGGTCTAGGGGAGGCCCCAGACCTTCCAACACCCCTGAGCGGAGAGTTAAAACTGAATGTTTGTCAAGGCGTCCCAGATGATTCGGATTTAATATGTACATATATATATAATACAATTATTCACGCGTTTCAAAACTAATGGGTCTGGTGTGGCTTGAAGGTTTGGAGTTCTATGTTCTAAGCATTAAGGTATATAAATACATTTGTGTCCGGGCTAAGGTTTTAGGCATCCCGGACAGCCCGGACCTGGAGGTTGAAAATTTGAGGATTTAGGAGTTTGAGCTCAGGGTTTATGGCTTCGGGCCCGAGAATTTGTGATTCAGAGTCAAGATTCAAATGCAACTGGAAAGAGAGCAAAGGATGAACATAAATTCAATAGTTGCTTTAGTATACAAGTTAAGTGATAACAACAGCAAGCTCGGCAGACCTTCAGAACGGGAGATGTATCATCACAACCCGTAAGCATTCTGGCATCAGCCTTCAAGCAGGACTTACAAGTCAACCCAAAGGCAGCTCTTGCCCCTACAACATCCAAATCTACACTTTAAACCAAAGACGACAAATCTCCCCTGGCCTTGCGAAGGCCCAGAGAGTCATCGAAAGGTTGACCGGCTGGAAGGAATCAATACGAACCCTGGCTCAAGATTTAGGGTTTGAGGTTCACGCTCAGGATTTTTTGCGGCTTTGTGTAATCCATATTCGGGGTTGGTGAGGGATTCTCCTTTGCAGTGTACAAGCTGGAAAGATGCTTTCCTGAGTACCTGGATGTACATGCCCCACGGCAGCGGTTGCATTTCAGGCTCACGAAGTGCCCCCCGCAACTCTGAATTCCCAACCCTAAATCCTATTCCTGTCCTAGAGCCTAAACGCAAAGAATCTAAGGCTTTCAGAACCTGAAAAGAGGTGCAGGGTTCAGGTGCGCAGAACTTGGTAACATCTCGAAACGGGAACACCTTCCGGGACCCAGGCATAAATGGAGATTGCAACAAATTTCAGGGCATGCCGGACAACATGGAACCATGAAAAGAGCCCTGCACAAATTCTACAGTCCTTGCAGGCCCAAGGCTCATACAGGGTGCTATGTTCTTCTGAAAGTAGAGTTACCCCTCTCAGAAGGTCTTTGATTGTGATCTATTCCTGCAAGGTGGCAAGGTATGGCATCTACCCTGGACGGACTCCTGATGATTGTGGCGTCAGTCGTTGGTTCGAACTTTTTTGTTGCAGCAAGATATTCCGGACAAGCAGCGGCAAACGGACAGAAATCAAGTCCACAACTGAAGCGCAAAGTTGCGTAACTAGGACGCGATTCTGGAAAGTACATTGTCTTTGGAGCGTCCATTTCGCAACGGGCGCTTTTTCATATATATATAAACGCCTTTGCTGCAAATTGTAGAGCCAAAAGCGTGTGTAAACCCCAGACTTCCACTCAGCTCTCAAACCCGAACCATCCTTCACTACCTTATCATCAACCTCCCTTTCATCCTGTCCGTGAACCCAAACATCCTCACACCTCAGAAGCTTAGCGCTTTAGGGCTTACCTAATGGATGGTTCATTAGACTTCAATTTCAATGCCTAGGTGGTACTTTCATTTCCCATTGACCCTAAATGCCTTACTGCTGACGCACTAATTATCATCTTCTGATGTACTAAACTTATGAATCCACCGCAGTATCAGCCCCACATATAGAGGCTACCCAAAACGCTTAACCCCAAACCCCACCCGTAGAGGTTCCCAAGCACGTCAGAAGTGCAATATTCGCTCCGAGAGCCTGGGCTTTGGTTCAAATGCATTTGTAAGCATAGCCCTGAAGCCTTGACAGTGACCATCATATGTCTCTTGTGGGGCCCACTTGTTGGGGTAGGGGTTACAGACGTTCCCTGAAGCCTTCAACTTAGCAGCCCTTTAATACCCATTGCAACGTGTCACATGATTCGCAAACTTCAGTGTTTGCAGCAGGGGTTTCGCGAACTTCTGAGAGGCGTACAGAGCTTACAACCGTACCAATACCTTCTCTACCTCTGAACCCATGAAAGGGACACCAAATGTACACACTTACTCAGGAATGCCAAGCAACCCTGTACACACGCACACACACACACACACCAACACATACTTACACTGCCCAAGTCATGAGCCAATATGTTGATATGTTGATCTATATAGACCTGTTTACAACGGACTGTCAGGTTCCATGTCTGTTGAAGGACAGATGGGTGCGTGAGGCTTAAATGATTGCATTCCTCCCTGACGTATCGGCAGAGGTGAACCCCCCCGAACCCCGAACCCCAAACGTATGCCCTGCAAACGTACAATTTGAACCCTGCGGTAGAAGCCGAGAAGTTGGAACATAGAGGCCGCAGAAGTTATACCACCTTTGCCCCGTTGCTTCGTTCAGGCCCTGCGCTGGGGTGCGATACTGCTGTTCCAACCTTCTGGATTCTGCTCAAAACACTCATCGGCCGGCTAACCCTGACGATGCAGCAGCTCAGTGAACTCGAGCCCTACACCCTCACACCCAAAACCTGGAAATCTGGACTTAGGCGGCTATTTCAACAAGCGAATTGCGCAACTCTAAGCCCTAATAATTGTCTTTACAGGCCCTTTAGTCTACAGGCCCAGAAGAAGAGTCCCCGAAAAGGTCCCTACTGAACCCATTAAGACTACTTTGTGGGGTCCCATGTATCCAGGAAGCTCTGCCAGTTGGAACTTCGGATTTGACTGCACCCTGCGTTCTGAGCAGCTCTGATCTTCAAATGAAACTTCATACTCATGCGCGAAAGAGCTTGCAGGTGTGCAATCTCGCTTCGTAACTTTTAATCAGAATGGAAAACCAATCGTCTGCAAGGATGACATTAGAATCCTTCCAAATGCTTTGCAGCAATGACAACTTAATATCCGCTAACAAAGCTCCATTTTGACCCAAGTGCTCTTGTTTTTAGGACTGTCAGCGCTATATTCAAGAATGCTGCAAATCCTGATGCGTAACATCCGAGAACTGAAGCCTTGAGACCTAAACTCTATATAGACCCGATAGACCCTGAATCCGCCCGCCAGTGCGAGCCGAAGGTCAGCGAGAAGAGCAAGGAGTTTTGGATACCGAGCTTCGTCAGACCCCAGGCGATGTTGGATAAGTCCTGCTGGGTGTAGAGCTTTGGGCTTGCAGCTTAGGGTGTATAGTGTCTAGCAGGTTTAAGCCACATAAGGTCCAGGGTTTCTTGCTCAGCGCTTGTAAGCTTTCACATCCCATTACATCTCGAATACGCACCGCAGCATGCAGCTTGAACAGCTCATGGCCTTGGATTTAAAATCTAACATCCGCGCCCAAGCATTGACAACGAATCGAACTCCAAATGCCAAAGGGCCCGAGCTGGAGCCTTTGAGTATTCCCGTGGTTTGCCAAACATGGTTCCCCAGAAGCCCTTAATTCCAATTAAAAAGGAACTCCAAACCCTACCACCCTGAGCCCCAAAGTGGCCTCGATCACCCACAATCCTGAATAACACATGGGACGCGCCCCAGCCTCACAGATTTAGAATCCCAAGCCGGGGGCTTACGAGGTCCTAGTGCCTTGAATGAAAGGTTCGGCTACCTTCAGCAAGGTCTTGGGCTTTTACACCGGCATCATGGAGGGGTACATACGGGCCATCATGAACAGCAACATATACATATCGAAATTTAGAAGACAAGTCATGCTAATGGCAACACGAATCTTTATACTGCTCAAAATGAGAAGGGCTCAAAACCCGTTTCCTTCAGTTGCTCGAGTCCTGCGGCTTCAGTGAGTAAGGATCCGCCTTTCGAATGGTGTCGGATAGCCTGGGGCTGAGTCCTATGCAAGTTACAAGTGGTGTCAAGATACTCAAATTGTGCCGGACTTGGGTTCTTGTAAACTAGCAGCTGCGTTTTGGAGTGCAAGACCGTAATCCCAAGAAACCTTTACGCCCAGAATTCTACGAAGAGCCCACCTGATGGCTACCGGCACCTTGCTGATGCACCTCTTTTCTTCTGGATAAGACTTCAAAGTTCAAGGATTAAGCCTTTTAAGGCTAGGCCCTTTACCCGAACCACAAATCAGAATCCTAGACAAGTCCTGAACCCATAATCCTAAGTCTGAACCCTGCACCCCGGCCAGCCCTAGACCCCAAATTCTGAAAGAGCAGGCAAGCCTACGACTGGTCAAGCAAGCCTGCACTAAAACTGTAGCAATCCTACTCTTGGCTGTTGGAAGGAGGGAGCAAAGGAATGGGTGATTGGTAACTGTAGGGATCAAAACAGAGGACTGGAACGAATAGTAGGACAGGAAGCAGCTCATTTCTGGGCTTGGGGGAACGTTGGAATGGGCTGCTTAGGAATGCTTGAGCAGTCTGCGGAGATTATCATATGGACGGGCTACTTCGCACAGCGCAAGACAAGATTTACAAAAGGCTCACTACGACTAGTAAAAGGCTGTATTCCCCTGGCGCTGCTCTGAACGTTGCACGGGCAGGGTTTTCAATTAGCCAAACACTGCAAGTATCCGATGCGCTGATGGCTTTGCAATTTGTATTGCGAGAGCTTGATCGCATGCAAGTCGTCCGTTTAATCTTACTCAAGAGATCCCCTCCTCCAAATTGCTGTCAGGTCAGTTGAGAACGAGGCCGGTTCACCAAGCGCTTGAAGCGCGGGTCTCGTCGCAAGCCTGCCTCACAAAGTTTGTGGCTTTAGTGGTAGGTTCCCCGGGTTTAGGGTTTTGGATTTGGTTTAGCTTCAGGGGTTTGCGGTTTGGTTTTGCCTCTGTGAGTTCCGGAGCTTCGGGGATTTAAAGCTTCAAGTGCAAGACTGTCCGATGAGAGCTGACGCTTTTGGGATCTGGAGTAGAAGGTCGCCATATCCTTCGTCAGGAGCCATGCAAGTAAGGTTGACCGATAATAGGTTTTGGAGCAAGGTACATGCAATCCCACTATATGGCGTGGTAGTGACCCTGAACTAGCCTCCTCGTTTTGAGCAACGCAAATGTATGCCACGGGAAGCACGACCCCTACAGTAAAGCGTAAACCCTGGGCCATTAGACGGCACAGCGTCAAACACGTAACTTCAACATGAGCCCTACACGGTTTGGCTGGAATTACAGCGGGACTGAAGGGGGGCAGCCACCTAAGAGCTCGGGGCTTGAGGCTGAGGTTTAGTGCTTAGGGCTTTGAGAGTTTGGGGCTTAACGTCTTGGAGTCACATCTTTCTTGTGGTTCCTTTGCGTTGGGCGGGGGATTTACCATGTTACACAGAAAGATTTTGCATTGGAGCCCTACTGCAAGACTCCGTTGCATGACATATTGTCGCCATGTTGTCGTATCCGGCAAGCTTACACCTAAAGATATTTTTAAATAGTGCAATGTAGGCCACTGTGAATCTTACACCCCACGCCCAAACGCATGCCAAAGTCATCCAAAGTCAGTCTCCCCCCAAATTTAAGTCGTGCATCCAGGGTAGCAGCATTGAACGTCATATCTTCCTTTACGTTTTCTTCTGATGGCCATCTGATCCGTTCAAAGGACCTAACGCTGGAGATGATGTACACGCTTTCCCGCTGATGGACTGCTGCCTGGTAATGCTGCGGCTACCCGCAAACTCTGAAGCCGTGAAGCCTGAACCAAGCTCTGAGCAAGCCTTCTTCGCTGCCAGAGAAATGGCTGCTAATCGATGTAGGGCGGTGATAAGGTTGACCGCCTTGGTGAAACCACTGTGGGTTGTGGCTTAGGGTCTATGGGGTTTAAGCACCAGGGCGTTGAGTATGACTAGCAGTGACTAGCATAGCGAAGCCGTCCATGGTGTCAATGGCTTGAGGTGTAGGTTGCAGGGAATCATGAGCCGTAACAGGGTTACCTTCATGGCCTTCATGTATCCGCAAAACATGCGGATTAGGAACCCACCCTGCCAAGAAACCCAACATGTCGGTTAGTCCCTGACGCGCTCTCTTCACGCATGCAGGAACAAAGACTAAACGAGTGTAGTCAATCAAGGTTAAGAGTTCATGCGCCAGTGCTTTGGAGTTTGGTCCTCGGACCTTGGGACCTGCAATTAGGTTAAACTTGCCACCTACGCTTGCGAGTAGGGGATCGGGTTTTCATGCTTGCTTTGAGTTGCTGGATCTAGTTTCGAGTGGGCGATGTATTATGTGAGCTGCGTGGTGATGACCCCCCACATGACTGAACCCTGCGCAGGCCAACCACGTGAGATTCCCAGCAAACGAATCCTTCCAAGGGACAACTTCAAACCATTCTTCACACTCTCTGTCACTGTTATAATTACAACGTCTGCGCTGCCCAACCGCAGGTTTTAGAAACGTTTGGAACAACAAGTGCGTTGAAACCTTATATCGTTGTTGGGCCCATTTTGTCCCCCATTTTATAACGAAGCACCCGGCATCCGAATGACTCGGCTTCTGTTTTTGTCAGTGATGCCGGCTGAGATGGACTATTAGCCGGACACAAACCCAAAGTGACATTTACTATACCCCTACCAACACAAAAGCAGACCCTGTCAGGTCATTACAGGCACGCAAATTGCGATTCTCTGCACCCCTGGTCCGTAAAAGGATGAACGACAAACTTATCTTCAATGCTTCCCGCAAAAAAAAAAAACAGGTTTAGGAATTGCATGTTGCTTCCTAAATCTTCCTGTTCAAACATCAAAACGATGGCACCGCAACATTCAGCCAGACGCGCTGAGTCTTGGACATTTAGCTGGTCGAAGTTTTCATCCACGATCTGGAGCAAACACATGACTAGCTGTATTCCTACGAACTCTCTGTTCTTGGGCTGTTGTGTCATGAGATTGTCGAGTATGCGCAATGATTACTGCTGAAACGTATGGACAGCATGTGCATGCCCCATAGGTAAAAGAAAGCCTAGCTTGCCTAGCTTCCCTGAAATTTGCCACTTTCCAGGAGCTCTTGCTGAAGCACAATCGCGGAAGTTGTTTCCTGCAAGTCTGTCCTGCAACAAAATTGCGACAAGCCTATACTCTTTGTAAATATGTTACAAGAAATTTCCTTCCTCCTATAGGATTAAACCCTAAATGCCAAACCCCAAGCTGTAAACCACAAGTCCAAAGCCAAAGCCACAAACCCCCAAATGCACCCTCACACTGGTTTTCACGCATCGAGAATAAGATTCGGGCTATGTTTCGGGTTGATGTTTGGGGTCAGGGATCACATTCCAGAAGCCCCCTCCCACCACCATGGGTTCGAGCATATTTGAGTGTCCAGAAAGTAGTATTGACTCGCGTGCAGATGCGCAAGTGGTTCCGCAATCGTGAAACTCTAACCCCCAACTCCACAAGGAACACGTCGCCCAGCAACCCCTACCAGTACACCCGAATCCCCAAACCCTCAACACTACATTGCAAGATCGCATCAGCCTGGAGAATCCGATCAGGCATCCCAGCATTGACGATCTGCTGGTTGAGCTGAACGTTCACCTGGCTCTCCCAGAAGACAAAGTGGGGAGTTTTCTTGTCGGAGTATGCCATAAATTGTGCTGATTAGGGGTTTCAATCTCAAGGGTATCTTTGAGGCTTCCTTTCCGACCACCTATGTGATTTGCTCAAGATTCAGGTCCACTAGAGGGCGCTATGCATTTACAAATTCCCTCTTGAGTGTTATACAGAACTCTTGAGAGACTCTCAGACCAGATGGTCTACCACCGCCTCAGCATTTCGAGCTTGGGGGAGTCAGGGAGTTAGGGATTTGACAAAGTTTTCCTGAGGACTCCAAACGGCCAAAGCCGATGTAGATTTCAATTATAGACTTCATTGCCCAAAGGAAGGTACATTTATAGATGTGGAGCCCAAGAATTTAGGTGTCTAGGTACCAAGCCCATATGCCTGATCGTTGCGCTCTGGATAGACAAAGAACACTTGCTGTCACCCCGTCCTTACACAAGCTCAGGTTTCAGCGTCTATTCCTTCTTCACCCAGGGTCATCCATGATGCGTATATGATGCCCCTCACATACACAATTGACTACTGGCCGTGGCTTCAACAAATCAATATATCATAACCAAATACGCAGATACATTTGCAACTGACCCCTACTACCAGAAAAGAACAAACCGCACGAACCCAAAAACCAGTAAGCCCATACCTGAAGCCTAATCCCCTCGTTTCTCCGCCAGAAGCAGGGTCACCCTGAAAAGCTAGAAACCCTCGCCCCTGAACCTCTTAACCAATACATCCTTGTCTCCTGCAGCTTCAAGCCCAAGTCAAAGCCGCCAGCTCGACACGATCGGGTGCATGAGCTGACGACGAGGCTGGAGGACCTTTTGCAAATCTAAGGGTTCAGCTTGCGGTTCTTGAGGGTTTAGGGTGTAAGGTTCAAAAAACAGGGGTTCAGGTAGGGTCTGAGAGTTCAAGGTTCTGGGCTCATGTAAGTGTGGAGTTCAGGCAAGAATTCAATTGTCAGGATTTCGGTTGTAGCTGCTCAGGCAGTAGTTGGTGTTGCGGTTGTGGGGAGACTTCGAGTTCGTGAACGTGCTTGTATCTATCATCAGAAATTTCATGAGCAGGTAGGGCCCGAAAACAAAGCGCCAGGGCTTAGCATTAAGGATTTAGGGTTGGGAGTTTGAGGGTCGAGGCGTCGAGGATCCACATAAGGTGGCGGCCCCACACGATGACACGCTGCCCAGATCTGACAAAAAGACTGATGGGATTCACTGCAGGACCGCGGGGACTTAGATGGAAGTGTCCTAACTAATTAGCTATTATTATTAGTATTATTGTTATTACTATTGTTACTCTTAATTATTGTTATTATTGTTATTTGGAGTCTGGGCAGAGCGTTG